AAATCTGGTTCGGTATTTATCTTAGTGCCCTCTCTTGGTGATAATTATGTTTAAATAAAGTGCAAGAAGACGTTCACAGCAAGGTGATTCATGTCCCGGGATGATAAGAAAACTTTGGGTGCTGAACAAACTTTCAATCTTTGGTGAGTAATGTATTTTCTCGTAAGAGCGGAGTAAGTTTATTCACAGCGTAATTAATTTTATGTCTTTAGTCCCAGGTGTTTTTAATACCATACTTTCCTACTGAAGTGTACACAACTGTTTTAAGCATAGTAAAAGAGGGGGGGGGGAATGTGTTGTTAAATTAGTGTAATTTAGGGCTTTACACCGTTATTGCAAACATATATTAAGGAGTAATAAGGAACACATTAGTGATCTTTAATATTTAAAGGGTCAACAAAAATGTGATTTGACAATTATGTTTTAAGATGGGACATCGAAATCTCTTGCATACAATGAAACACTAAGTAATCTTGTAGGTTGTAGGATATAACCAGTTGGTCATTTTAGGGCAGTTCTAGTTAGTTATCCGAACAGTATAGTGTGTGTATTACGTAGGCTTGTACAGTGAAAGTATCCTCGTCTGACATAGTAACAAAATGATATGGTGTAGTTATTTATTAAAATTTATTACATAGGGCAAGAATCAACATATAACTTATATACTTGCCCTAAATACATGGACGCTTCTTTCTCCAGTATGTTGGTATCCGAGAGATAGTTAAATTGATTTACTATATGTATCAATTAATTTAATTCTTACCATTATATTTATTGATTTCTTTCACTTGACACTGCGACTTTAAGTTGTAGCGTTTTCTTTTTTTATTGAGTATGGTGGCAAATGGCTTTTATTTATGAATATACCGGTATAGTAAAGTAAAGTTTAGTAAAGTTAAGTAAATTTTATCCTTGCAATAGTATAAATTTGTTAAATTATTTAACTAGCTTAAATTTCTCAAATTTAGCTGAGTATGCTCTTGTCGAGTATTTCTTATTGTTTGGTGAAATAGTACATAAATTACACCTAATTAGTAATAACAGAACATAGTTTAACTAAACTCAACTGTTTTCGAATTGTCCTGAATGGCGAGGGCGAGTTGATTCTCTCTCGATAGAAGCAATCATCTTCGATGGAACGGCGATTGTTGATTGCGTCTAACGAACTGAAGCATTGGAAGCCGCGGTTCGGGTGATATACCGCACAATTTTATTTGATGGATTTTGCAAATTATTTCTCAAAGCTGTTCACCCTTGACGGCCAAGTAAATGGAATGTAGGTGTTTAATTCGTTGTGATGCTAAAAATAGGATATTTTTAAAGAAAGTTTTAAAATTAATGTATTTTTTTCTGAGAGATCTTTATTTTAGCACTGTCAAAAACCATACCATGGAGTGTTTCGCATAAAAAACACCTTTAAACATATGTGCATATCACTTACTTTCGCAGCTACTTAGACCTGCAGAGTAGGCCTAGACTTCCTTCTTAGCTTTTCTCTAAAACTTCTAGGTATACATTTTCCAATTAATATTTCACTGTAGCAACAGTAATGGTTTTCTCTCCCGAGTCATTCTCTTAACATGCCTTAACCAGCTCATTCTTTTCATCACAAAGAAACGTACCAAATCTTCTCCTTCTGCAGCAAAAATAAATCTGTTTGTTTCCCAAAGATCTCCACTCCTATTCTTATCTAAAGTGGTGGTTCAAAGAGCTTCATATATTTGCTGTACAGTTCTTCTGTTTAATATCCTGAGCAAGTTAGTTGTTGCAATTGTAAATGTCTGTGTTGCTGTTACAATTTTTGATTATAGAACGTAATAGCTTAGCTATTGTTCTATACATCAGCGAGGAATATGTAAAATTAAGGTATTAAGTAAGATAAGGTAGCTACGTGGTAAGTTCTGGTTCCAGCTGTAATCATTTAATCAGTTTTGGAACTACTGTATTAGCATAAAAATTGTGTTCGTTCTCAAGTAAACCCCACACTAAAATAAATAAATATCGCTACACCAATAAAAACGCAATTGTCATTCCTGAGGTATTGAGTTATTCTTTTCACTTCATTCATCGCCAGACTTTTTGGATTCCATTTTCTTGTTTGCTTCCATTGTTAAAAATACTTTCCTTAAATAACACACGTTTAGTAGTCAGATTTTTGCCATTGGCATAAGCATGAAGCTTGCAGTAATTCTTTAAGTAATATTTCCTCCCAGACTTAAGTGACCAACAACTTCATGGACAGCCAAGTTAACCAAAATTACTAATAGTGATCTTCTTACCTCAAACTTTATCATGCTTATTCTATTTGCGCTGTGGATGCGATTCTCCCTGATGTGGATTAACATCTGCACTAGTGAGTACTACTATCCGCATTACTATCCTGATAATTAGACCAATTCGTTAATTACAAGGCAAAATGTGGTTCGGATTCCACAATAAACTGTAGGTCCCTTAGTTGCCATTGACTGTATTCTATTTAGATGTATATTGGTTTATGGAAACAGAAACGAGTCAGTCTGTCTAATAATAATCCTCCATTAATACAGTTAACTTTTTTTTTACAAAATCTACAGACCTACTTTGTAATCAACGGTAGCCTACTTTTCATTGTCTGCATATAATGAGGATCTGATCTATAATATTTAGCGTACTAATATTGTATAGTCATTCAAATACATGATTTCGTTGTACAAAATCACTACAATCAATGTGAGAGCTACCCAAATTACTCTCATTCACTAAAATAAATATAAAACACAAATACGGATAATATTACAAGTGTATTTGTTTTCGTAGACACATCTGCAATAACCTAATGATGAGATCACAATTGCAACTGTTGACTTTGGGACTTATCATTTTAAATTGCACATTACAATCAATTACTAATTACTGGGTTCTGCCGAATGCTGGGCGCGTTGTGGCACAAAGCATGGTTTTGTTCGGTTCGTTACTCGTAATCAGCAAGCTGACTGCCAGCTGTCAATTACATCTGCCGGACACGTCGCCGATTATAATTCATAATTGCTCTATTTTGTGTCTGAACCCTATTTTTATGTACCAGAATATTTTAGGTGGTATTTATACAAAACATTGCATTATTCTATTTTACTAAAACCTTAATTAATCAGTTGGCTTGTGCCATGTCAGCCTAAAATGTACAACATGGGTTTTGTGTAAATAATACTAGAATACACGAAACTATTTTTTGTTCTTTACATATATAGACATTTCAAATCAAATGTATTGCTTTAGATAGGTTTCGATTGACGAGAAACGCCGTAAAGTGTCTTTGTAATAAAGGAGAAACACATACGATTGTATTAGCTGGATTCCAACGTAAATGTAAAATTGAACCTGTGTGTAATGATATTGGATTGATCGAGTTGTAAAGAGGGTTTACGACTGCTTGCTGAATTGACTGCTTCACAAAAAAGCAGGGCATAAAACAAAGGCTAGCGAGACCCAACATTCACGTGTGTATTTTATTAGGAAAACTACGGATTACATCTTCAGGAAACATAACTCGTAAAACAGAAATAAACCGAGTTATTGGCAAACCAATTACTTTACACCGAGATGTATTTTCATACATTCGAAACAGAAATATTTTATACGTAACTGATCTATCGGAATGATATAAACCAAATACTGCTAAAAATATGAAGTGTATCATGATAGAATACAACATTCAATTTCAGTTCTAATTTTAAGCATATTTCAAATAAGAGTATAATTCGACATAACCCGAATTAGAAAATTAACCTCTAAAGTTTGTACAAATAGGATATCAGGTCGTAAATGAGAGGTCCAGTTAACAAGGGGCTGCGTTAGTGAGGAGATATGATTATGACGGCCCCAGTCGGTCTGTGGTCCGGGGTCAACCATTAAAAACGTGCTTTGAGCCCTTTAACGGGATTACTATAAAATCTAGGATCCCTCGCAGCTTAGTTCCAGTTATGAATAAAGGAATTCGTGTTGCAAAAGTAGTTAAGCTTATTTCGTTATTAATTGTCTGAAAATTAAACCTCGTATCTTTTAACAAGCTTTAGTTGACCTTTTTGAAATCAAATCAAACGAAATCACTTCATACTCTTTGAAGATTACGTTGGTTAAAAGAATCAAATAAGGCATATTAACATGAGCTGATAATATTCCGGAGGAATACATTAAATAAGTGTGTTTTAATATATTATATATAACGTAAAATTTTAGATGTCAAGAGACTGATATGACAAATGAAAATTTTTATTTGTTATTTTTGTCGAATAAAGGAGTTATTGAATTAATAAGAGAAATTTAACAGTCTCAGTAAAACAAAAAAAGAAATAATTAACTGTGCTACGGCTTCAAAAGTATCTAATAAGATTTTGTTCGGTAACAACTTAAATATTTACTTTGTGTAACTGGTTACGTTACCAAATAACTTCGTCAATAGCTCATAGTGACATGCATCAAAACATGGCACAACAATGTTGGGCAGATCCATGATTTAATATTTTACCGATAATAAAATACGACATAAAAGCCTTAAGTTTCTCAATATTCTACATTAATGGCGGGGGGGGGGGGGGTGGCTTCACCATAGACTAACCAACACAATCTAAGGGAGTATGTTTTATCATGGTTTGATCTATGGTTTCACGCACAAACTATAGGACTGTGTAGATGGATAATAAATGATATGTCATCATGTGTAACTGTCATGATAATTTGAGATGGGGACGCCACTTAGGTGCGTATTCCAACCCAAATATGAGTGAAGGATTAGTGTAGAATGTTGTGAGATGTCTTGTGTAGCTTCGTCCCTGACTAAGATATGCTGTTTCATTAGGTGGGTCCATATATCAGAAGCCCAATGATCAAGGACAGCTGGATCAGGTTTGAGCCATCAAAAGCTGCGTACTTTTCTCAGGATCGTACAAGGGACTTTTTTAGTAGGCGATTACTGTCGCTGACTTAGTGACATGTAATGTTCCAGCATACATGGTGTCGCATACCTTGGTGTTGGTGTTGGTTGTGGTGGGCGATGACGCGGGCTCGCTGGCCAGTAGTCGTTGTAGCTGAGAGGGCGAGTTCTTGGCTGAGGGCGGTGGCGCGTACTGTATACACGACGCTGCTAGAGGGGACGCCGGCGCTGGCGACGTGCTGCTGGACGCTACAGAGCCGCTCCCGCTGTGGTGGTTCTCCGTGTGTCGCCGAAGACTCCTAGCGTCGCAGTATGACTTGCCGCAGCCCTCTGCTTTGCACTCGTAAGGCTTTTTGTTGCGATGCGTCAGCATGTGCCCGTTCCTGCAACAAATTTAAACTTTCAAACCTTTTAGAGATACTACAACCATACATTTAACCCTTAGACATGGCATCAAATTTACCCTGCTGAACTTCACAGATACGCTAGGCCATTTATAGTACCCACTGTTGTTTTGGCGTCAGGTGTCATACTGAACAGCTGTCCTCAGTAGCTACAGCTGGTTCTGGAAACTCGTTTGACAAAGTGAGGTAAAGATATAAAATCTAGATTTTAAAGTAAATATGGAATAGCCTAAACATTTTAGTTTATTATAATTCAAATAAGATGTATGTTTCTATAACTAAAAGGGTTAAAAACACAATTAAAGAAGTACTTAAAATGAAACCCCAAAACGTCATCCAGTAATTATGCCCCATTTATCGTCAGAATTCATATTAAAAAAAAAATTAACTTTACAACTCACATATAAAACAAACTAAACATATACTAATCCTACCTGCTCAAAAAATAAAATATATCTAAGATAGTATAAGCTGGGCCCGAAGAGAACCTCTACTCGTTGAGTGTAATTCCCAAGACAGTGAGCTAGTTTACATTTTGAACAAAGTTGAACGGTACCTTCCTATCTTTTTTAACTAAACATAATTTTTCGTACAATGTTTACATTCCTTACTGTGCGTAGGCCTACAAGTTCGCCGTCATCTAACGAATTCGATGTCCTCGTAGAAATTTTTCCATTGTAGTCAATTTCTTTTGCTAAGTTTGTAGAATATTGCACTTGATTTGTTTTAAAAGACATTTTTTATATAATTAAGATTTTCTAGGTGGTTGTTGGATTTTTTGGGAGGACATAATAATGTCAGCGGGAGAAAATGGTGATATTTTGGAGATTCAAACCATAAATGCAAATAAAACACTTTCGGACATAAATACAGTCCCTGTACGACTGTACACCTTATGTTGCTCTTTTTATTAGTAATATTCATACATGTCCGGTATAGAGTTTACCAAAACCCAAAACTAAATTATTTCACCGTTTATTTTGTCAATCAATTGCAGTAGACGAGCTTATTGCCATTACTGACTTCTAATGCCTCTTTAGGACTTTTATCCTCCTACTTATCCTACAAAAGTGTGCTATCCCATTACTTCATACTATACGAAAGTTCCTTTGATTTCCGCTCTATTGTAAAATATGTTACAATGTTTTCCGCCTTTCAAACCAAATGTTAAATACGAGGTTCACATGTATGTAATAATAATATGTGTATATTTCTACCTTGAACAGAGAGTAAGATAATAATGCTTATATAAAATAATAACATTATTAAGGGTATCAATCAGTTCACTAGATATGGTTTGGTCTAAGTAGGTCGTCACTTGTACTGTAACACTTACAGTTGTGTACCTACAACAACCAGTTATATGCAGCATACCACATGCACATCCAGTATAACATTGTCATTGTAGTAACATGGATAATGTGCAGCATTACTATCACCTAAATGCATTACAGGCTCGCCCGCTGATACAAATTAAACAACAATAATGTTGTAATAGTGTGTATTATACCATTATCTATGTATCACTAAACACTCACACACCACTCAATCAAAATATCTAACATTGTTACAAGGATTATACCGATTGCACTATACTGTTATACTGTTGTGTACCAACCTACAATAACCAGCCATATATACAGACATAACACTACATACACACGCTATATAACATTGTAGTTACATAGATAATGTGCAGTAATACCTTATGCACTAACATACTCTGCCCTTAACAAGGAAAACATAGTGTCTTCCGATGTCGTAAAAATAACTTGCTTTATAACAAGGAAAAATGCTGTAAAGCATGGTGGCCGCAATTGTATTTATTTCAAAAACCCTCCTCGTAACCCCCTCGTAAAACACTCTTTTTTTACCAATAGAACTCAATGGATATCAAAACAATGAAGTATTTGAACAAAACTGCGGATTAATCGGTTTAGGGAACTCTTAAGGTATGCACTGTTTTTAAACAGATTTGTTTTTTTTTAGGCTTGGCACTTTTCCTACTTCTTTTAGAAACAAAAATAAGTTAGTTCAGATTACCTTTCAGCAAAATTTTCTATCTTACTCATGAAGATTGAAAACACTGGGTCATTGGTAAAAGTACTGAAAACGGTTTAGTATCGAAGTTTTGATATACTTGACCAACAAAACCTAATATATCATTGCAGCATTAACTTTACAAAAGAAAATAAATAAGAAACACTCTAAGGGTTTCTCTGAAATGTGTTATTATATTTTTAACGCCAGTACAATTATCTGAACGCACAGCACTCGTATAACTAAGTGAAGCCCAAAAAATAAATCATAAAACTTTGTAAATCTAACTTTTAAAAGGATTATAATTTAGCAAGAAAATATTATTCAAATAACAAAGAGATATAGGGTTTATCTTTAAGGCCGGTCTACACGCAAGGATTTCGCGAACGTTTTATCTGCGCAGGTAAAACGTTGCAGTCAAGTCGTTGCAAAGAAATGCGTCCACACGGTACAGGTTTCAGCACCAACTTTTAGTGCAGTTTTGTGATAACTTTCAGTGTATGTGCATGTAATATCGTGGAAGATGTGTTTCTGCTGGCAATTTCTGCAGCCAGTGTTACAAGTAAGCAAAGAAATAAGTCTGAGAGACGACGGCGCTCGTATGGTCAAGACGTTGGTTACTAAAAAGACAACAAACTTCATAATAGTTTCTCTGTTCACGTTCGAATCTACTGCTTTGGATTTTTCAAAAGTATCTAAGTCTTTTTTCTTATCACAGTCACTATATTCCTTACTCTTGACCCTCCATAAATTAAGGACACTTCTGGACAGTTCGATGAATTCAACAATAAAATCATGGGAACATTGGCGAAGATCTGCGATCGTAATTAAAAAACACATTTATACCTCTGACAGCACGAGAAGACAACACTGCATACTGGGGTTTTGGGCGTGAAGACGGAGTTGAAACGGATGACAGTGTCCACACGCAACGACTTGCCTGAAAACGTTGTCAAAACTATGCTCTCAGCAATAGTTTTATCGCTCCGTCTTCCGTCTCCGCGCAGTTCTAAAAAATGCACAGTTTTGCGGTACACACGCAACGATTTGACTGCAACGATTTACTTGCGCAGGTAAAACGTACGGTAAATCCTTGCGTGTAGACCGGCCTTTAGGGACAAAGTGCTTTTTAGCAATATTAAATCTATACAGTATGAAAATATTAAATGTATATAGTGGGTATGAGTGTAAATTGTATAACAATTTGAATCGAATTGGATAACAATTAATTCAACAAAATCACTTACAATAAGTTTATGATAACTGTATGTACCAGGCGATGCAAGGAGAATAATATCACAGTTTCCTTCCTTCAAAAACAGTATTTCAGAATACTCTATACTCATCTGTAGGTTTTAGACCAACCTTTACGTAAATTACATTTTATTAGTTTAAAAAGCTGAAATTAAGTTCAAAATTAACTTTAGTAACTAATTGAGTTCCTACCTCAACCTGTTTTTCAATAAAATGTTTTACATAAATAATTATCAATCGTCTGAAGTTTGGAAGCTGCAAAACAGTTTTTAAAGTAATCTTCAAGTTTTACAATAAAAAAACTGAATAAATACAGTAAGTGACCTTTAAAAACATCAGACAAATTGTCTTTCAAGTGTTATCAACTTAGCTTTCTTATAGAGTTTTATTCGAAAAATAACAAAACTACAAGCATTATTTCATTCCCTACAAACTTTTGTATTTGGTCATGAAGACTCCTAAATATCGTTATCTATTTAATTTTATGTTTATTTTCTTGTTCTCATATTTTATAAATATGAGATATTTGATACACATGGCGTTACATGGGTTTATACAGATTAGGTGTTACATTAGGTTCAAACAAGACGATTATTATTGACCTTTACTGTATAATCCAAACGCTGCAAATCGAAATTGGTCTCTTTTACCGGTGTATTTGATGAGAAACATTTCGAAACCCCTGCCCACAACAACCTGATTGGATTTTTACTCAAATATTTCCATAAAATTGAAATATTTATTTCACATTGAAATAAAGTTTAAAGAGTACTTAGGTCTGCTACATGAAAGGTAATAAAGTATGTTTTTTTTTCGATTAAAATTCAATGACCTAGTATGAAATAGATTTGCCAAAATTGATGAAAATATGCCCTGAAACAAACGAACTAAAACAGTTTATTTATATTATATACAAATGATAGGGAGATTTTAGAATAAAACATTTTCCCTGCAACTGTTTGACATACAAAAATGCGTCAATGTACTATAAATTATGTTTTAAATCTCTGCCATTAAAGAAACAATTTCACGATTAAGTGTTGGGGTAAAAAAAGGGAAACGCCAAAAAACCCCCGTTTCCATAATCTGACCATGCTGGTTCACTCATTTGAAGAGGTACACGTAGATTTACACGTTTATACAAAATTTCATAAAAACCGAACGAGTTTGATCGAGTTAATTACTCGACTTTACTCAGAAATAACAAAAATAAAGATAAATATGTGCCAGGTGTACATGTTAAATTGAAACCTACGGTTATAGTTTATCCCCTATACGGAAAAATTCGCTAAAAGCACTTCTTTAAAAGTTAAAACGCTGTCCAGACTTAACCTTATTGTGACGAACCATGACGATAGAAGCATAAAAACCAAAACTACTTATCTTCAACGTGTAATGATATTAACCTACATTATCTAAAGAAAACTTAGATATTTTAGTTAGAACATCCTCAATCTTCATATTTTTTTAATCCCTAACTATAATAAAGGAATGAACATTGCTGTATAGTAATCTTATGTTTTATTTTGGTCGTTCAATGGTTTGAAGATTTTTCATCGATATAAGTAATTAAAGAGATTATTTAGAGCGTCACAAACGTCGACATTTTCTAACTCCCACAGTAAGAAATTAAAGTTGTAATTACAACTGAGCGATCGGTATCAGTCAAGCGGAATGCGGCTTTT